ACATATAAGTAACATATCACAGGGGACATTATTTCCTCTAATTGTTTGGCTTATGTCTTCCCAGGCGGTAATTCTATCCTCTAGGGTGACTGTCTCTAAAGCCTGGGTGGCATTTATGCGTGACACAGTTTAGCACCAGAGTTTAGTTTTTGGTCTCTTGTTGTCTCTCTGTTATCACTGAATTTAGTTTTAAAATATGGGAGAGAGAAAGTTATTTCCTGGAAACATTCACGGAAATACACCTTACTACTTTTTCCAGATTTGCTATAACAATGTCAAAATTTAATTCTCAGTAAGAAATTTCTGGAATCTATTAATCTTAAGAGAGGCTATAGTAAATGAATAAATCAAAGTCTTCCATACTTAGGTGAGTCGATACAATTCTTAATTTATTTCACCTTAGAAGGAAAATAATGTATTCCAACAATCTTTGCAGGGAGCACAGTCCTGTGTAAATCTAACTGCTATGATTACTACTTAGTTCCTTTAATAAGAAATATTTGATTCATTACCTTTGATCATATTTATGAGTATTAATTGGTGTGCATTACCAGGAAATATATTCTTTTTTTTTTCCTTGATCACAATATTCTTGTCCTTAGCTCACAAACTTTAGTTTTTATAAGTAAGAAGAATTATGTCTTGTATTGTTTCATTACAGTTAGGCAGATTGCTTCCCAGGTTAATTCTTAAAGGCAAATAAAATTTGAGGACAAGGCCTACATTGTATGGTGTCTAAAATGCTCTTTACTATGCTGAGTAAGCAATTAGAAATGCGAGGTGGTTGTCACTGAAAAGGAGAAAGAGTGCACTTGACACCTTGAGTGGTCTTTCAGCTAAATGGGAATGACACCCATTCTAATTAGAATGGACCCTGGACTAATTAGGAGACTGGGAACTCTGACCCCAAGTTTGTTTGCATAAATACAGAGTGTAGGAGGTGGATTGAAAAGCTACACATGAATATATATACCTGTATATGTATATATTCTTATCCTCACATCTTTTCCACGTCTAGCTTTTTAACTCACCTCCTATATGTGTGCGTGTGTGTGTGTGTGTGTATATACATACACATACATAAATATCTTTTTATTCTTTGATGACAGCATTTCTTTTACAACTCTGAGCTGCTCAGACATTGTTAAAGCAACTCCAGGGAAAGAATGCAGATTTTGGAAAAAGATTGAAAAAGTAACAAAAGTGTGCTCAGTTATGAAATTTGCACTCAGTCTTATGTTAAACTAAAAAATATAGTTAAGGAGTAATAATAAGTGTAGTAGAATATCAAATCACAAGTATCAAATCAAAGTAGTCTAAAGGAGTGATTAAAGAAGAAAAACTTCAGTTGTATGTGAATCATATCTATGTATCTATCATTTATCTATCTATGCAAGAAATAATTAACACTATGTATCATCCTGGAGGATAAAATGATAACAACTGGATGTTCAATTTTTTCTCTTCTGTGCCACACATTGGAAGAAGAGTTGTCTTGGGCTACATATTAAATACACTAATGATATGCAAAAAGGGAAAAATGTCTGTGCATAATTTTTACCATATCTGCTACCACAGATAAACACAACAGACCTCACGTAATCTGCATGTGGACCACCACCGGCTACAGTTTGGCCACCTCTGCTAGAGCATTAATTTTGGCTCATGAAAAAGCACATAGGTTTACAGAATTCTGTGTCAAATGCTATTTCACTTTTGCAGGGTCTTATTTTAGTTTTCAGTAAGCAGCAATGATGTGATTTTGCAATATGATGGCAGGAAAGGGCAGTTGAATTATTTTGAAGACAGAACATTTAAAAAAATAATCCTGTGTATCATTTCCTCCCCAAATCTTTTCATTTTATGCTAATTTAGGATGCTTAGGTCCCATAGGGTTTCATGATAGCTACTTTTATAGGACTCAAAATGTATATCAATGTGCTATAATTTCACTGTGTGGTCTTGCTTTAATAGGAAAGTCTAACTTCTTTAGTATTACTATAAAATTGTAACATATGTATATTTTATGCTAACAGTTTATTGACTCACATACACCTTCATTTTTCAATAAGTATTATTAAACGCCTACTATGTCCTAGTGTTTCATATTTGCCCCTGTCAATTATATTAACACTGATGAAATGTTAAGTGCTAAAAAAAAAAAAGTAAAATATGTATCATTACAGATGTTGCTTGAAATCCATGTTTTCAAGGGTACGGTTACAGATAATGACACAGTTAGTAGTATGACCATGGCTATGATGAATGAATGAAGTAGAGATAAAAATGTTGGAAGAGATGAGGAAACTAAGAGGATAGAGCATTGGAAGTACGATCTGTGCATCTATTCAAACTGATTCAATACCAAAATATCTCTAACCAAATAATAATGTCTAACTAAATAGTAATTTCTCAGAAAGCAACATCTGTCCTTCAGAGGATCTGAGGTAGACTGTATTCACTATCTGACCATGATGTTGTAGAAAGATCTCCAGCATAATAAAAATGGTCTGGACACATTATTACATTTGTTTTGCACAAAATTATTCTGAATACCTGACATTGTAATATACCAAGAGCATGTAACTATTTTTTATACTTTTCAAAGTTAGGTAATAGCTGTGTATAATTAAGTATATTATTCTTTTACAAGAAAGATCTAAACTATATAGAGAGAATAATGTTACTAACTGTAAGAAGATCATTGGAAAAAGAAATTTAGAAATAGACACAGAATCAACAGAAAAGCACCCATAAGTTAAGAACAAAATTGACACAAGTAAGAAGACAGAATAACATTCAAATTTTTTAAGATAATGTGATTGTGCATATGCCCCAATCCAAAATGATCTACCAAAATCTATTATAATTAATAAAGGGATTTTATAAGTTCTGTTGATGCAGGATCATTAAACATTTTCCTGAATTTGTGATACTTGTCTATACCTTTCTACATCTAGTTAACCCCAGTATCCCCCAATAACAGAGATCATAGCTCTTCTCTGCAGTAATTACTAAGGCATTACTTTGAGCTCCATTTTCCCCCTTTCATCAGTTGTTCAACAATTACCTAAATGATTTAGTGTTATAAATGCTGTGTTTTGAAATACCTAGAAAATATGGACTCAAGCTCTTAGTAAGAATGTTCTAAGAAACCAATCTTCAAATATGGCTATTTAGTTACATCCTTGGCCTTACAGACTATGCTCGGCGCCATCCAAATAGAAATTGGATTCTGATAATTCGTGGTATGTAGAAACATCATGGATGATTAAATTATCCTTTGTGGATGATTACAATTACATGCTTACTGAACCAAAAGGATAGAAGAATTGGGTGGCAGTTTCACAAAACTATTGTGGAAGTGATGGTGATCCTATGAACAGGGAGTATACTAGTGATTTTTAACCTTTTTTATCTCACAGTACACTTAAACGATCACTTATGTTGATCAAAACAAGGCAAAAAAGGAATATACTTACTGTGTTTTGAACTTGTTTTAAAAATAATTTAATTAATGATCTTTAAACATTTTAATGGCATTTTTAGATCCTCTCACAGCACACCAGTGTGCCATGACATACTGGTTGAAAAATCACTGGAGTAGATGAAGAGGAAGTGGACATTCTTCTGAATGCCCTGGAAAGTCTGCAGATAGAAAATCATAAATTCAGGGCATCAACACTTTGGCCCAATTTACTATAAAAGAATTAGAGATATTTTACAGAAGCCATAAAATCATCATTATAAAGTTTGAGATTTAGTGGTTTCTAGTAAGTTTACAATGCTGTACAATCACAGCAATATCTAATTCCAGAATACTTCCATCATTCTGAAAAGGAACTTTGCACCCATAAGCAGGCACTCCCCATTTTCTACAAATACTCCTTCCCTCAGCAAGCACAAATCTACTTGCTGTCCCTGTGAATTTGCCTATTCTGGTCATTTAATAGAAATGAAATCATAGAATATGAGGCCTTTTCTCTGTCCGTCTCCCTTCAATGAGCATATTTTCAAAGCCCATCAATTTTGCAGTGTGCATTAGTGCTATGTCAGATTTAATGATGCCCATTACCCCATTGTCTGGATATAGCATATTACATTTCTCATTTGCTAGTTTATAAACATTGGGTTGTTTCTATCTTATGGCTACTATAAATAATCCTGCTCTGAACATTCATGTACAAGTATTCTGTGGATATTTGATTTGACTTTTCTTCACTATGTATCTAGGAATGGAAATAAGGTCATATGGTAAATCTACGTTCACTTTTTGAGGAATGGCCTAACCAGTTTCCAGAAAAGGTCCATCATTTTATTGTCTCATCATCTAAAGTGAATGAGCATTCTAATTTCTCCACATTCACAGCAATCCTGATTATTTTCCATTTTAGACAATACTATAGCTGTGCACATATCATTTTACCCAGCAGTTCCATTTCTAGAAATGGGTACTACGGCACACACCATCATGCAAATTGATAAATTGATAAGGTTATATATGCCAGCAGTGTTTTAATACCAAAATATTGGCAATACCCTATAACTCCATTGGTAAATCCATAGAAAACCATTATGGCGGTCCACACATTTGAGACCTGTGCATCTATTAACAAAAGTGAGGAAGCCTTCTCTTTAGTGATATAGAAAGATTATGGAAAAGGATATGGAAAGACAAAAGTGCCATTTTTGTTTCAAAGTAATCCTTTGTTTATATTTTAAAAATCTGTGCTCAAAGATTTAATCCCTGTCTTGATGTCTAGGCCAGTCGTGCTGGTATAGGTCAGTCACTGAAGCTCACATAGCCGGGTTCGTTAAACCAAAGCAGGACGGTGTTTTGCAAGTGAAGCAGAGCTGTGAGTGCAAACTGCCCACACTTGGCCTCATCTGCTCTGCTCTGAGGCTCTGAGTGCCTGGCACTCCACCTTCTCAAGTTCTGCTGCTCAGTTTCCTTTTTTTCCTCCTTTCTTTTCTTCTTTCTTTTGCTAAAGTCAAGAGTCATGGTACCGGATGAAGGAAACCAGAGCTCTGTGACCACATTCATCCTGCTGGGCTTCTCAGAGTATCCACAGCTCCAGGCTCCCCTCTTCCTGCTGTTCCTGGCCATCTACACAGTCACTATGCTGGGGAACTGGTGCATAATTGTGGTTGTAAGAGTCAACCCCAAACTTCATACACCTATGTACTTTTTTCTTGGCCATCTGTCCCTTTTGGATTTCTGTTATTCCAATGTATTTACACCAAAACTTCTGGAGACCTTGGTAGTGGAAGACAGAACTATCTCCATCAGTGGCTGCATGACACAGTTTTTCTTTGGCTGTGCCTTCGTGATCGTAGAAATGTTCATGTTAGCGGTGATGGCCTATGACCGGTTTGTGGCTGTGTGCAACCCTCTACTCTACACAGTTGCCATGTCTCACAAGCTCTGTGCTCTCCTGGTCGCTGGGACTTACGTATGTGGAGGACTCTGTTCCCTGACACTCACATATACTCTTCTGGAACTTTCCTACTGTGGACCTAACATCATAGATCACTTTGGCTGTGAGTACTCTGCCATCCTCTCTCTGGCTTGCTCTGACCCTTCTTTCAGCCAGATGGCCTGTTTAGTCATTTCTATATTCAGTGAAGCTTGTAGCCTCCTGGTCATCCTGGCCTCCTACGTCTTCATAGTCGTCACTATTCTTAAGATGCCTTCCACAGAGGGACTGCGGAAGGCCTTCTCCACCTGTGCTTCTCACTTGACTGCCATCACCATCTTCCATGGGACCGTCCTTCTTCTCTACTGTGTGCCCAACTCCAACAGCTCATGGCTCCTTGTCAAGGTGGCCACTGTGTTTTTTACAGTTGTGATTCCGATGCTGAATCCCCTTATCTACAGCCTTAGGAACAAAGACGTGAAAGAGACAGTCAGGAGCTTAATCACCTCCAGACTTCATTGTCCCTCAATATAATTCAAATAAATATGTTTATTGACGTTCAACATCCAACTTGTTTCATATACTTTGTTGATGACAGTTCAGCATTATTTTGAGTCAAAATATTATGTTTTAATTAATCACACATTGCTGATGCCATGGTTTTCAGTGCTTAGAATGCCTTAGCATTATCACTAGTTTAATATAGTTATTATGAAATCGGATTCATTTCTTCTCAGGAGATTTCAGAAAGAAATGTGTTTCAAAATCATCCCAATGAACACTGTGAAATCAGGCTGAAGAAGAGGAAATCTATACTTAGGGATTCACCACTTGCATTATGTTTTCTCTTTAAGCTGTGCTTAACAAGTGCTGAAAATAAGATATAAGTGCACTTACTGGACCCTACTCAAGTCCCCGTATTCAACTGTTTTGGCTCAGCAAGTTCTACACAGTGCAAGTTTTGTTCCACTTTTAATCTTAATTTAAATGAAGACCTCAGGGTCTATATTATGAAAAACATCAGCTGTCTTTAAGAAGTTGATGGTGACATTGTTGGCTACTATTTATCGGCATTATGTAATTTTTGAGTATCAGTGTAACGTGTTATGGTTCAATAAAAAGTGTTGCAATAATGCTGAGTATTAAGAATGTTATTTACTTCTAACAACGCTTTTGTCCATTACTGAGTGATACAATGATCAAGATTCATGAATTCCACTTTTCAATCCCCCATTTTCACAGCAAACTTATTCCTCGATCCAGTTTTCTCCATGTCAGTAAATGTGGTCCTCCTTTACTCAAATGCTTACATAAAGAAGGAAACGTTATTTGTTATTCTGGAGTTTCTCCAAAGCTCAGTCAGTATGTCATGTTCTTTCTATTTCCAAAGTAGATCTTCATTTTGGAGCCATCATCATTATGTCAGCATTAAGAAATTAGCACCACATTTATCTACTATTTTATTTCTTAACCTTATTGCTATGGCTTGAATGTGTCTCCCAATGCAACAATGCTGAGAGGTTGGACGTTTCAGAGGTGATGAAAAATGGAGGGCTTTGCTTTCATGGGTAGATTGATGCTGTGATTATAAGAGTGAATTAGTTCTGTAGTAGGTGCCAGTCAAAAAGGATGAATTGGGCCCCTCCTTCTCTCACACGTGTTTCCTCCCTGGTGTCCTCACTTCCACTTGGGGCCACACATGATACAGCATGAAGGCCCTCACCAGATGGTGGCACTTTTATATTGAACTTCTCAGCCTCCAGTACTGTGAGAAATATATTTATTTTTTTTTAAATTACTCGGTCCTCAGTACTGTTATAACAACACAAAATATACTAAGACCATTAACATATACTAAACTAACATATACTAACATATACTAAGACCATTAACATATACTAAAAGCCATTAAAAATAGGTTACTCATTAAGATTCTTTAGGATGTAAAATCATTTTATTGCAATCTCCAGCTTAGAATTAACCATTCATTTTCCATTATGTTTACAATGAAATTTAACTCTTTGTAAAGTGAGACATTTGCCTACCTCTCTAACATCTTCATTTTAAACTTCAAATATATACAAAAATCTATGTAACTCCCAAGGTGAGGAATGGAACATTACCAGGACCCCAGAAGCCAGTCCCAAACCCTTTCCTCTGACTCCAAGCAACAGCCAAAAGTATGAGTTTTATCCTAAGGATACTTTTGCTTTTCCATATTGATTCAATCTCTATGCCTCTCAAAAAATAAATTAATAGTCCATCTTTGCAGACTTTTTATGAAAGAAATTATGTTCCTTAATTACTTCATTTAGAATAATGGTTTCCATTTCCACCCAGTTTGCTACAAAAGGCATTTTTTCACTCTTTCTGATGCCTAAGTAATATTCCATAATGTGTATGTATATACACATATGTGTACACACACACAGACACACCATTTTTATTTATCTACTCATCATTGGGAGACACTGAGTCTGGTTCCCTATCTTTGCAATTGTGAATTGTGCTGTTATAAATGTAAAGATGTAATTATCTTTTTCATAAAATGACTTATTTTCCTTTGGGTTGATGCCCAGTAGTGAGATGGCTGGATCAAAGAGTAGATCTACTTTTACTAATTTGATAAATCTTTGTGCTATTTTCCATAACGGTTATACTAATTTATATTTCAGCAACAATGTATGAGATTTGCCTTTTTTTTTTTTTTTATAATGACCATTCTGAAAGTGGTAAAGTGGTACACACATATCATTGGTGTTTTAATTTGCATTTCCCTAATGGATTAGTGACATTGAGTACCTTTTTTTCATATGTTTGTTGGAAATTTGTTTCTTTTCTTTGAAAAATGTTGGTTCATTTCTTTTATCAACTTGTTAATTGGGTCATCTGTTTTTCTCTGGCTGATCTGTTTGAATTCTTTATATATTCTACAAATTATGGATAGCTTGCGAATATGGTCTCCCACTCTGTAGTTGATTATATCTTTTGTTGTGCTTTTTCAACATCTATTTAGATGAACAAATGGTTTTTGGTTTTAATTCTATTTGTGTAGTGAATCATATTTATTGGTTTTCATATCTCATTCCTGGAATGAAACTTACTTGATTGAGGTATGGTGATTTATTTTTGATGTGCTTTTAATATACTGTTGAGTTCAGTTTCTAGTATTCTATTGATACATTTTACATATATATACATATATATTGAGACAGAGTCTCACTATATTGCCCTCAGTAGAGTGCCATGATGTCACAGCAACCTCAAACTTTTGGGCTTAAGTGATTCTCTTGCCACAGCCTCCCAAGTAGCTGGGACTACAGGCTCCCACCACAATGCCCAGAGGTTTTTTGTTGCAGTTGTTTAGTTGGCATGGGCCAGGTTCAAATCTGCCACCCTTGGTGCATATGGCTGGTGCTGTAACCTCTGTGTGAAGGGAGCCGAGCCTATATTTCTAATAAAATTCAGTGAATTTTGAGAATCACTGAAATATGTATCTAATAAATTAATATTTCACATCGCATTTACTTGAAGGAAATTTGATCAGCTATTTGTAGAAGTTGAATAGCTATTTATTATGTTTATTTTTTTACTTTTTTATTAAATCACAACCACATAGATCATGTATACATTAATGCATTTATGGGGTACAATGTGCTGATTTCATATAGAATTAGCTATTTCTTATGTTAAAATGAAGCTCACAATACAATGGTATATTTAAAAAGTATAACAAACAATGAAACTACGGTACTTGCCCAAGATTTGTATTTGTATGTACACTAACACATTTATATGATACCCAGAAAACCAGAAATAGAACAAAGATTAAGAGTAGGTATTTTTGAATTGTTTCCCAATAGCTGATTTTTTTCTTTTGTACTTTTTGTATTTTATAAATATTTACAGTCAAATGTCTTATCTTTGGTTCGACATATTTAAAGATGATCATAGAATTAAAGTTGGTGATGAAATTATCCCCAAATCGTTAGAATAAATTAATTGCAACCAAAATGTCACAGGAGGCATTGTTTTGTCTAATTGCTTGATTCGTGGCCTTTAAGGCAATACTTCAATCATACTCTCTAGAGGGAACATCCCCAAGGCCTCAGTGGCGTATATGCATGAGGCAGGTTAATGCCAGGAGTCAGCTTTTTGCTCTCTTTTTCTTTTTGACATTGCTGAGTTTATTTTGAAAGAATTAGAGGAAGAAATCATTTCCTTAAAACATTGAAATATACTGTAGACTCTTGCCACTTTTCTTCAGGTTTGCTATTACTTAAAACATAAAAACTGACTTCTTAACAAGACATTTCCTACAGTATATTAGTTTTTGCAAAGACGTTTCAGTAAATGAATAATTCAAATTGTTCTCCACTTAGGTGAGTTGCTTTAATTCTTACTTTATTTTATTTTACAAGGAAAACAATGTGTTCCAATGTTCTTTGCAGGAGGGAAACCCATGTGTAAATCTGGCTGCCATATTAACTAACCCTTTAGTTCTAACTAGAAACGTCTGATTCATTATCTTTTACCATATTTGTTATTAATTTCTCTGCCTTAATAGGAAATATTTACACTATTTTATTTTTTAATTTTTTTCTGTGTTTTTTTAATTAAATGATAACTATGTACATTCATACAATCATGGGGTACAGTGTGGTGTTTTCATATACAATTTGAAATATTTTCATCAAACTAGTTAACATAGCCTTCATGTCATTTTCTTAGTTATTGTGTTAAGACAATCATATTCTACTCTTAGAAAGATTCACTTGTACCTTTGTAAGATAAACCATAGAAGTGATCCCTCCAGTCACCCTCCCTCCATTCATTCCCCCCTCCCTTTTCCCTGCCCCTTCCCTGTATACTTAGGCTGTTAATTAGGTTATAGCTTTCATATGAAAGCTATAAATTAATTTCATAATAGGGCTGTGTACATTGGATACATTTTCTTCCATTCTTGTGATACTTTGCCAAGAAAAACACTTTCCAGCTCCATCCATGTGAACATGAAGGATGTAAAGTCTCCATCTTTCTTTATGGCTGCATAGTATTCCATGTTAAATCATAATATATTTCTGTTTCTTTGTTTTAATAAGTAATAAGTTATCTGGATGTAGTGTCACAGGCCTATAGTTTTAACAGCTTTGGAGTCTGAGGCAGAAGGATTTCTTGGGTCTAGAAATTCTTTTTTTTTTAAATTAAATGATAGCTGTATACATTAATGCAAACATGGGGTACAGTGTAGTGTTTTCATATACAATTTGAAATATTTTCATCAAACTGGTTAACATAGACTTTGTGTCATTTACTTAGTTATTGTGTTAAAACATTCATACTCTAGTTCTAGAAAAGTTCACTTGTACCCTTGTTAGACAGATCATATAGGTGATCTTTCCAATCACCCTCCCACCACCCATCTGCCCTTCTCCCTTCCCCTACCCAAACCCCTCCCCATATTCTTTGGCTAGAATTAGGTTGCAGCTTTCATTTGAGAACTATAAATTAGTTTCATAATAGGGCTGTGTACATTGGATACTTTTTCTTCCATTCTTGTGTACTTTGCTAAGAAGAACATTTTCCAATTCCAGCCATGTAAACATGAATGAAGTAAAGTCTCCATCTTTCTTTAGGGCTGCATAGTATTTCATGGTGGGGTCTAGAAATTCAAAATTAGAGTGAGCTATTTTTTCTGCTACTACTGCAGCACTCTATCCTGCCTCAAAAAAAAAAAAAAAAAAAAAGAAAGAAAGAAAGAAAGAAAAAGAAACCTAGTAAGAATTGTTTGAGACATTGTATTATTTGCAGTTACATGTATTATTCTTCACATTAATTCTTAGAATAAAAAACAGTTCTTTCCAGGGCCTATATTTAATAATCTTACATCTTTTAATATGCTTATTACAGTGCTGAGTACATAGCCAATATATAATTGTATGGCCAAAGTAGATGTCACCACAAAGGAGGGCAAGAATGTACACAGCACCTTGAGGTCTAATTCAGGTGATCATGGGTGAAACTTCTTGGGTTAAACAGAAGATTGTGAAATTTGGTACCAAGTCTGTTGTTATAAATAAAGAGTGCAAGAGATAGGTTGAAAAGTTACACAGGTAGAAAAGATGTGTGAGAATAAGCCATATATATATGAAGTATATGCTTCTTTGATAACAATGATTTCCCTTTAAACCCTGGTATGCTCACCTTCTGTTAAAGCAATCATAGGGAACAAATACAGATTTTGCAATGAACTTGAAAAAGTGAAAAAAATGTGGTCAGTTATAGAAATTTCACTCCATCAGTTTATGTAAAACAGGAAATCCACTTAGTAATAATAAATTTAGAAGATCAAATTACAGTTAGCAAATTAATCTAAAGGAGAAATTGAAGAAAAATGCATATATATATGATAAATGCTGTACATCTAGGAAGATAAAGTCATCATAACTCCAGCGAAAACAAGAGAGCATTCAATTTTGGCTTGGGATAAGGTATATTATTTTTAAAGAATGTTATAGGGAATTGTATTTTCTTTATACCAAGTACTATTTTAGTATTTAGTAAGCAGTCGTGATGTGATTCTGGATTACAATAGTAGAAAAGGGCAATTGAGTTATTCTGATAAAAGGAAGACCATTTAAAAAATAATTCAATGTATCTCTTTCCCCTAATTATTCTTCATTCATACTAATTTTACAATGCTTAAATTTCCATGAGCTCCTTGTATCATAGGACTAACATGCATCTCAGTGTGTTGTGAAGTTACAGTGTGGTTCTAATGTAACAACAACAATGCCCTTATTAGTATTATTTTAAAATTGTACCCCACACATGTACATTATATGCCAGGACTTCATTATTCACACATACTCTCATGCATTCAACAAATGCCATTGAACACCTACTAAGTCCTAGGATTTAATCTTTGCATATGTTAATTGTACTTTATTGCGGAGCAACAATGATAAAATAGTAAATGATAACAAAGAAGTACTATATGTATAATGTCACCAGATTTTCAAGTAATTGATATTTTGCAGAGTTTATAGTTATTTATAATGACATGGTTAATGAATTAACCATGGCTGTGAAGAATAAAGTGAAGATAAAATTGTTGGAATAGATAAAATTAAGAGAATAAGTGATTGAAAAGAAAATGTATGTTTATGGAAACAAATGTAATGCAAAATAATCCGTACACAAGTGAAAACCTTAGCAATTTCTTGAAAAGCAAGGTCTAATATTGGAGGATCTGAGATTGAACAAACTGACCACCTGAGCATGAAATGCTGGTCTTCGGGATAGTAAATGAGGTGTGGACATACTGTTGTTTGTTTAGGCTCCAAATCATTCTAATGCTTGGTGTTAATGATATCCAAAGAAGAGGCAATAGATTTGCCTTATTTTGAATAACTAGGTACCTGGGTGATGAAGGGCATTGTTCCTTTACAAGGCAGTTGTAAAACGTATGGACGGAAATGTGTGATTAAGTGTCAGAAGTTCACTGGAAAGGGAAATTTAGAAATAGCTAAAAAAAGAGAAAAAGTAATGACCATTTCAGTGAGTCATTATTTTTCTTACTTTCTCTTTTGAGTACTCAGTTCTCAAATTTAAAAGGTGAGAAAAAGAAGAAATCATTGAACTTATGAAAACTATTTCTTTCAAGAATAGCATTTTACTGAACTCTGATTCATAGGCAAAGCAAGATTGGCCATTTGCATGAAGTCGGTTGCCTTAAGATACTGAGTCTTATTGTTTAAAATATATCAGAGCAAATTGACTTAGTTTCTTCCCCCAAGGACTCCCATCTTTTATTATTCCATTTATACCAATTTTATATTTGCTCTATTCCTGTAATATTAGTGAATTCTAGCTTCTGAAATAATGTAATCATTACAACCAAGTATTTTCCATAGCCCTCTTTATGAATAATCAATGAGGCTCTCAACATATCTTTGTTGTAATCCTCTTATCTGAATTTTTCTTCTCACTTCTCTGAATCAACTTTCCTATTTTGTCCTAGGAACCAAGAAAATCACACTGCTGGAGCCACTGCCAGAGCCACCTTCATCCTCTTGGGCTTCTCAGAGTATGCAGACCTCCAGGTGCCCCTGTTCCTGTTGTTCCTGACCATCTACACGATCACTGTGCTGGGGAACCTGGGCATGATCATGATCATCAGGGTCAACCCCAAACTCCACATCCCCATGTACTATTTCCTCAGCCACTTGTCCTTTGTTGACTTCTGTTATTCCACCACGGTGACACCCAAACTGCTGGAGAACTTGGTTGTGGAAGACAGGACCATCTCCTTCACGGGCTGCATCATGCAGTTCTCCTTTGCCTGCATATTCGTGGTGACGGAAACCTTCATGCTGGCGGTGATGGCCTACGACCGGTTTGTGGCTGTTTGTAACCCTCTGCTCTACACAGTGGTCATGTCCCCGAAGCTTTGCTCCTTGCTGGTGGCTGCATCATACTCTTGGGGAATAGCCTGTTCCCTGACACTTACCTACTTTCTACTGGAATTATCTTTCAGAGGAAATAATATCATAAATAACTTTGTCTGTGAGCATGGTGCCATTGTGGCTGTGTCCTGCTCTGACCCTTACGTTAACCAGAAGATCATTTTAGTCTCTGCCACATTCAATGAAATCAGCAGCCTGATGATTGTCCTTACTTCCTATGTTTTCATTTTTATCACAATCATGAAGATGCCTTCACGTGGGGGACGCCATAAAGCGTTATCCACCTGTGCCTCCCACATGACCGCCATTGCCATTTTCCATGGCACCATCTTGTTTCTCTACTGTGTTCCTAACTCCAGAAATTCATGGCTTGTGGTCAAAGTAGCCTCTGTCTTCTACACGGTCGTCATTCCCATGCTCAATCCCCTCATCTACAGCCTCAGGAACAAAGATGTAAAAGATACAGTCAGGAAATTAATCAGTAACAAATTATTTTGTCACACATTGTAAAGTCTGTAAGATTTACTTATTCATTTTCCTTAATAGTGTGGAGAACTATCCAAAAGTTATAGCATTTATAACAATTTGAATTTTTTTTCAAGTAGTAGTGTTCTTTTCATGTAACTGCCAGTTGCCAGATTATTTAACGTTGATGTCATCTAAAGTTTAGTTGGTTTGCTATAAAACAATAAGTAACAAGATAATTACATCTGTGAATATTGAAATTAAGTCTTTAAGCTCAGATTTTATTGTGGAAAGATTTCCTGTTAGTGCACAATAGCTACTTAGCTACTAAGTAATTCTTCTGTTTTTTTTTTTTTTTCCCTCCGGTCTTTGGAGAATGGGCTTATAGAGTTATTCTGAAACTTCTTAGCTTACTATGAGGGTGAATACATCAAATGCAATATAGCAAACTAAGAGATGTTCAACACAGACACTGTATATTATTATTATTTTGAGACAGAGTTTCACTATGCCACCCTTGGTAGAGTGCCGTAGCATCACAGCTCACAGCAACCTCAAACTCTTGGATTTAAGGGATTCTTTTGCCTCAGCCTCCCATGTAGCAGGGACTACAGGTGTCTGCCACAATGCCTAGCTATTTTTTTTGTTGTTGTTGTTGCAGTTGTCATTATTATTTAGCAGCCCCGGGATGGGTTTGAACCCACCTGCCTCGGTGTATGTGGCCAGCGCCCTAACAACTGAGCTATGGGCACTAAGTAACAGACACTTTATTTTAAATAAACATTTATTCTGGACTTTGTGTGGCAAAGATGTGCCTTATCTGCACTTATTGGGCAATATTTAATATTTATTATTTTATTTACTAATAACAGACACTGTATTTTAAACATTTATTCTTATTAAATAAAATAATAAATAATGAACATTACATGACAAGCACAGATAAGGCATATCTTTGCTACACAAAGTCCAGACTATTGTTTGGTTATATTTTATTGGTTAATATAAATCTTATCTGGTCATTGTGCACAAGATTTTAAAATATAAAAAGCTAGATATTTCAGAAATAGCTATTTCTAAGTCTGAATTTGTCTTTCACATAAATCTTGCTTTGTCAATAAGTTATATATTGACCCATAACAAAATAACACAAAATTTCATTGGTGCATAACATCAGGCAATTGTCATTCTTATTTTTGGTCAGTTGATTTGTCAATCCTACTAAGATTAGCTGAAGTACCTTGGCTAACCTCAGCGAGTTTGGTGTAACTAGGACTTACAATAACAGTATGAGCTGTCAATACTCATAACAGTATGAGCTATCAAAATATGTTTGTATACATAGATATACATCCATATATTATAAATCATTACTAAGAATATTCAGCTATGGCTTGGAACTGTAGCTCCTGCCTTTAATCCTAGCACTTTTGGAGGCTGAGGTGCAAACACCACTTGAAATCAGGAGTTCAAGTTCAGGCTCAGCAATATAACAAGACCCTGTCTATGCAAAAAGTCGAAAAATTATCATGGCATGATGATGTACACCCATAGTGCAAGCTACTCAGAGACTGAGGCAGGAGAGTCACTTGAACCCCATTGCTGTGAGCTATGAGGACTCCACTGCTCTGTAGCTTGAATGACAGAACAAAATCTTGTCTCAAAAAACAAAACAAAACAGCAAGAATAGAAAACGAAATTAAAAGTGACATGTATAGTCAATTCATAAAAATATATGGGTAGATAATAATCTCATGAAGTATTCCAAAGTTGTATGTATTGAAGGAATTGGTGATCTAGTATCTTTTGTATCAAACTGGATGGAAACGAAGATGATATTTCTGTGTGAAATATCCCAAGAATGGAACAACAAACACCACATATACTAAGTATACTAAATTGAAACCAGTCAATCAACACCAGTGGAAGTGGAAGTCAATGGAAATTAAGTAGGTGGGAGGGGATAGGAAGGGTGGGGCAATTTACACCTAACTGCTGCAGTGCACATATTCTGGGTGCAAGGCACACCTACACATATAACTTTAACTTAAAATGTAGAAAGGAAAATTACACAACCCAAACGTGTGTACCCCTGTAATATTTTGAGATTTAAAAAAAAGAAATGCAAAATAAATAATAATTTACACACTCAGATTATTCGACTTAAAAAAAAAGACTTTTTTTTTAAAAGCAGGAAGATCATTTTTTTTAAATCTTGCCTTTTCCCAACATCTCATGAACTAATATATCTCTTTCTAGACATTTTTAGATGTTTTTAAGCAGTCTTTCTAACTTTGATTTTTATATTTTCCATATCTCTTTCTTTGCTGCAAGTTGCATCAGTTCCTCATAGTTACTGTGGAATTTACTAAGTCTCTGTCATAACTTGGTTTCATCAGAAAGTCTTTTAATAGTGTAGTGAAGCAAATGAAATATTTTAAGAAAAATGTTTAAAATTAAAATACATGGACAAGTAAATCAAACATTATATTTATATAAAATTACCAAATATTAAAAAATAAATTTTTAGAGAGCAATAATTGTGATTTATTATCCATGCATTAGATAATAATAACTACATACATATGTATTAACTACTATAATTTTAAATAGGGATGACTGTAACAATCTTTTTAGATAGATTTCCTCATACAAATAACATAAATACAACTGTTATTTCTATGGCTAAAGGAACACAAGGGTATTGCTAATAGTGATTTGTGGCCCATTTTCATAATTAAAGGCACACTCGATTTCAGTTAGAGTTAAGTAAAAATAGTTAAATATTTTTTCCATTTTACTATATCATAAACTAGTGGGTCATTAACGTTTCATTTTTGTTTCTTATAATTTAAATTTTTCATGTAGATATCTTCCAAATAAAGATATGCTTTGTGAATACTATCTTGCCTCATGAAATCTTTATCTACATATATCTATTTTAACATTTGGAATTTCTTGTATGAAGTACTTACCACTCTGCAAAATATTATTGTAGTAAGACCACTTAACATAATGTCTATACTTTTTTTTTTTTAATGCAGTTTTTTTGATTAGGGTTGTGTTTGAATTCACCACCTCCAGCATATGAGGCCCGTGACCCACTCCTTTGGCCACAGGCACTACCCCATAGCATCCGTACTTTTTAAAAATTCTTAAGTCTGGGCAGTGCTTGTGGCTCAAAGGAGTAGGGTGCCAGCACCATATACCGGAGGTGGCAGGTTCAAACCTGGCCCCAGGCAAAAACTGCAAAAAAAAAAAAAAAAAATTCTTAAGTCTATAAAATATTATTTTTTAAATATATTATATACTATGTTGTACACATTTAACAGATCTCAAGAACATTTTCATCTTTCACAACTAAAAATTTATGTCCCATATATTTTGAGTGAACAACACCCACTTTCTCTTTCTCCTGGGCCTTGGAAACTTCCTTTCTACTGTCTGCTTTCATGAGTTTGGCTAGTTTACATCTCTTCCATAAATACCATCATTAAGTATTTGTTCTCTGTGATTGACTTATTTAATTCAGCATAATATCCTCTACGTATATCCCTATTGTCACATATGGCAAATTTCCTTCTCTTTAAAGACTGAATAATATTTCATTGTTTGTGTATACCACGTTTTCCTAATCCATCTAAATGCCTGGCCATTGTGGCTATTTTTAGGTATTGTGGAAAACGCTACAGTGACTAGGTCAGCATAAATATCTTTTCAAAACCCCGAGTTCAAGTTTTTTGGATATATACCCCAAAGTGGGATTGCTGTGTAAAACAGTAGTTCTATTTTTAGGTTTTTGAGAAATCCCCATAGCAGTTTCCATCAGGAAATTTTATAGCCCCACCAACAGTGCAGAAAAGTTTCTATGGTTCGATATCCTCACAACACTTACTAGTTTTTCTTTTTAGGCAATTGCCATACAAACAGGGGTGTGGCAATTGCTCAGTAAAGCTTTGATTTGCCATTTCCTGATGATTAGTCACATACCGCATGCATCTTTCATTATAAATATTGGCCATGTGCATGTACCTTATGGAGAAATGTCTGTTTACATCCTTTGACAATTTTAATTAAATATTTGCTTTTTTGCTATTGAGTAGTGGGAGTTCCTTATATGTTTTGCTATTAACTCTTCATAAAACATGTGGTTTGTAAATATTTCCTCCCATTTCGTAGGCTGTCTTTTCAATCTGTTGATTGATTTCTTGGATGTGCCACTTTTTAGTGTGATATATTACCACTTACCTATTGTTACTTTTGTTGTTTCTACTTTTAGAGTGATACCCAAGGAATGGTGATAAGACTAAAGTCATGAAGTTATTACTGTATGTTTTCTTCCAAGAATTTTAGTTTTTGGTCCTGTATTTAATTATTGCATCTACTTTATGTTGATTTTTGTTTGTAGTGTAGAATGAGGGTCCAGTTTAATTATCTGCATTCAGAGATACAATTTTACAAATGCCATTTATTATAAGATTATACTTGTTCCCATCATGTATTCCTGGCACCCTTTTGAAGATTAGTTTGCTATACATGTGAATTATATTTGAGACTGTATTCTGTTGCAATGGCATATATGTCTGTTTGCAGTCATGCTGTTTTAATTATTTGGGCTTTGTAATATATTTTGAAATTACAAACAAAGATGCCTCCAAGTTTTTGAAATGTTTTCTCAAGATAATTTTATCTTTTTGGGTCTTTTCTAGGGTTATAGTACATTTTAGCAATTATTTTTCTTTTTTGTTAAAAAAAAACTTTGGAATTTTAATAGACATTGCCTTGAATCGATAGATATCTTTAAATAGTATGAAATGTTTGAATATGTTGAATTTTCTAATTCATGAACATGAGATGGGAGGCATAATGTTAGTAGAAAAAATGAATTATAAATATTAGAGCAGAAATAAATGAGACAGAGCATATATAATAGCAACAGAATAATCAGTAAAACTCAGAGGATTTTGTTTTAAAAGATAAGCAAAATTGATCAAATCATAAGTGGACTAAGAAAAAGAATGAAAGAATACTCAAATAAAATGAGA